GAAGTGTGTAAGCTAAGAAAACTGGGAGTTGCCCAGAGCTGGTAACACAGCAAACATGGTAAATGAGACTTATGGGTATGGCTGAAGGATAGAGTGGCTCTGCAGCAAATACAAAAGAATAAACCTACATTTTTTGGGGAGGAAGATGCAATACTCTGAAGTCAAGTGGGAACCAAACTGTAGTTGTTGGGGCTGGATTTTGGTGGTTTGGTTCTTTGTTTTGAAGTTGGTTTCTTTTAGCTAGACAGCATGAACAGGTCTTTTGAGTGTAAATCAAAGTATATGGTTTAATTTTTGCTGGTATGACTGTAATAACTACTTTGCGTTTACTATTGCAAAGCTGTGTAGAGTGGTAAAACTCGAGTATAGGCGAGTCGCACGTTATCTGTCATCTGTGGAAGTGCAGCCCAGAGCTGTGAAGGGTTAAAATTCAGGCTGTAGGAATGATTTAATTTTTTTTAGTTTCTTTTTTTGACTCAGATAAGGAAACTGTAGTAACTGTGTGTTGTGTTTAGATGTTGCTGCAGAAAGGACTAGCAACTGATAGTAAAAAAACAAGGAAAGAAGGGAGTATTGCAATCCTAAAATTAGTGTGATAAGGGAGTCAACAGAAATCCACAGCTTCCTCACAGGGTTACCACTTAGCTTGAATTCAAGGAGGGAGTTTCTTCCAGAAATATGCATGAAGTAGGCTTTTGTACTGGGATGTAATCTAACATGGAGCTTGTATTTGCAAGCATTAGCTTATGCCATTCCTAACTGAAACTTCAGAGCTTATACTTGAGAACGGTGGAACTGGAAGCTCAATTTGACTATTCTGAGGCATGTTGTTTTAAGAGGTAACAGGCATCTACATTTTAAATAAACATCTTTGAGTGGACATCATGCTGGTGTTCTAATCACCAGCCATGGCAATATTAAGTAGCACCAAGCAAAGCCTACTTGTGTGGTCAAAAACCAGAACAGCCTACTTGATGAGAAAATGCAGCAGCCTGCAAATGAAGTTTCATTGACCTGTGAAGGTCTAAGAATTTTAAATCTCAATTTATAAATCCTATAGGAGTTACAATAATTCCCAGGAAAATTTTATCTGTAGTCTAAAATTATGTAAATATTGTCAGCTAAAGATGCAGTAGTCATTATGAACTGTAAATTATCACTTTAGAGAGGGGGAAATAAGTGCAGAGAAGTGAAACTATGGTTTTATGTTTTACAGCTTGTCTGTCAGTAGAAACCAAAGAACCACTGCATTTTGTTTTTCCTATTATTTTAACCACCCACCTGTTTCCTTTCTGCTTTCTGAATTGCACATGACCTTTAAAGTTCCCAAAACATCAAGCCCAAGCTCTGCAAGTTCAGTATTTTTTGGGTTTGAGCAGTTGGTGGTATTGACTGAGGTCTTCATAACTGCTTTTGAACACTGGATTTAAAATGCTGCTTCTACTAGTGCCTTTTAATGCATTAGGTTTTGAGGCAGACACTACAAATCTGCTAATCCTCTATCCTATCTCCTAATCACTGTACAAATCAGCGTAATTAAGAGAAAAAGGAAAACCCCTAGGATTTCACCTCAAAGTAATCATACAGTAAAACAAAGTTTCTGGTTCTCAAAAAGGCTGGCTAAGGAAACTAAGCACTTATGATGCAATGTGTGCGATTCACTTACTTTTTAGTACCTTTTGAACCCTCAACACCCCTTCAATGTCAATACTTCTTCAAGGGAAAAAGCAGGGAGAATTCAGCTGTTCTGCTAGAGTGTTTATTGGCTGGGGTTTTTTCCTGTGTTCTCTCTAAAATTATAAACAATTTTTAATTTTTCTATGAAAAAGAAAAATAGCTGAAATCAAAAGTATAAAGGAATATAGTAAACTAAGGAGAATATTCACCAATATCTCCCTGAATGCTCGGTCAGCCTTCAGGAGTTTGCAATGCCATGACTTCCTGTGCCAGAAGTAATTTCTGTGCATTAATAGCCATCTATGGATTTCTCTTTCATGAATCCACCCCTGTGGGCACACCTGCAGGAAGGCAAGCTCCATTAGTTCTACCATTCTCTGGAGAGTCAATCTTTAGTTTTCTGTCATCATTGTTGCTATGTCAAAGGTTGATTCTAGATAGTACCATAAAACATTTTTTACTTTATGAAAACAAAGACTATATCCTTATCTCCAGCCACTGTGAATCTTCCCTTTTAAGGGTGGCATCAATAGCTCTTTCTTCCTAACATTAATGCACTTGACTTTTTTTTTTTTTCTGTGAATGTTGCTTTATTCAAGTGGCATTGATTTGCATGAATATTCAGTGGTCCCCATTGGGCTGGCTTTAATAGATGGGTGGGCCTAATAGTTAATGATGTTATCTGGTTATTTGATAACAAAATTTAACACATAATGCTTAGAGACTTCTTGCTGAAAGGGCTTGGAGACCTCAGCAAGCATACCAAGTGTCTCAGTACCAGAAACAGAAAGCAGCTGGCATGCTGCAAGCTCAGGGCTTGCTCTTTGCCAATGAGTAGCAGTTATGTGGGACTTCCTTTTGTACTGCCAGCAGTGCAGGTCACTGTCCATTTAGGGCAAATGCTGTGGCCTGTCTTCAGAACCTCAAGATACTTCCTGTGCTTCCTGGCAAGTAGCATCACTACTTGGAGAAGGTTGACAGTGTCCCTGGGATTCTGAGTTGTTACAAGTCACTGCAAAGTTGACATAGGTGCTCACAACTGCTCAGCCTCTTGCTTCTAAACCAGGCAGAACAGAAGTGCTGCAAAAATGTGAAATTAAACATTTAATGACTTGGTTACTGCTGCTTGCTTCTCACATTATGTCTTTTGTAAGCTCTTTGTTTTCCTTCTCTGCATGAAGTTTTTTCCATTTCTTTGGGCCAATTGTGCCACAGGTTCTCGCAATCCTCTCTGGTTCTTAAGTGTTTCTGGCTTTAAAAACTTGATGTTGAGTTTAATGTTGTCTACTGCTGAGCTTGTATCAGCAAGACATCAGGCGGGAGAATGGACAACAAACATGCTGCATGTTTGAGTTTTTCAAGTATCCCTGATCCAGCTGAAAATAAATTTATCCAAGAACTGGACTGTTGCTGTTCCAGCTAACTGGAACTGTGTTCTAGACTAAATAAGAACTGTAGAGATCACAGTTTACAGAAGGGAATTTTGAGGAAAATATCAAGCTTTTTATTTCAAATTTAACTACTGGTTTCTGGAGGTGGGGGGAACATGTAATCTATATAATTTTCCAGTGTCTCTTTTGCCATTTAACTTACTTGAGTTATTTTATGTTCATGCACATTGATTCCTGTCTAGGCCATTGTCTGCAGAGTTTCTTACACTTCTTAAACCAAAGGTCAAATGTCAGCCTGCACCCCATGTAACCTGACAAACCTCAATGCAGATACAAGACCTGGAAGAAGAACAATGAGTTGGGGAATTACACACAATTGTTCAAAACACATCCTTCTGGAGGCTTTTTGAAGCAACCTTTTCTCTCTCTTTTTCTTATTTTTTCAGGGGTAGTTGCATGGAGAAGGGAAGCAGGGCTTGATTCTTTTATGTCACTATTGCTATATATAAAATCTTTTTTTTGAGTTGCCCCACTCAACATTATGACAATTCACAGAAGGAAGCAAAATGCAATACAACACGTGTGGTCCTTAGCTCTTCTCAGAGCACAGGCGCTCTGCTCTGTCTCATAATTTAGAATTTAGTAGATTATAATGTGACTGAGGGGTTTAAGTTGCCTTCAGTTATGAGTAAATCAAGATATTTCTGAGAATGCATTATCAAAAGTGTTTATTGCTTAGAAAAATGTGTTGATCTCTGAGCTGCTCCTTGTTCTTAGTATGATAATTAGTAGCTCTAGAGAAAGAGATAATGATCCTTGTAGTTAAACTGCTGCTTGGGACCTTGGAAACAATTTTTAATTCACAGCCTTGTATAATATTATATAAATAATATAAATTATGTAGAGCACATTACATCAGTAAAATGGGACAAAGCTTCCTCGCTTTGCAGGCTTGACATGCCAGTTTGTTTGGTGGATGTATAAACTACAACTCCTTTGCAAAACCAAAAACTGATCAAAGTCTGAGTGTGATTCCTTTTATTATCAGTGGTGAAAATTTTATCAGTAGTCTTTTTTGTTAGGATGGGGATAGTATTATTGAGAATTTGCATGTCTTTTTCAGAGATGATTAATTTTATGTCTTCTTGGTTACATTTTGCATTTAAAGATAATAAACTGTCAAGTGAAGTGTGAAATGTTTTGTGTCCATGCTGTGAATAATGTTGTTTTAGACACAATTAATTTTGTTGGCATGGGAATGTGTAGTCAGATGTGGGCACTGTTAAGACATCTGATATCTTATTTTGGCATAAGTCTGCACACTTCAGCTAGTGATGTCTAAATCTTTCCCGGGAGGATTGAACATAATTTGGCATAATGCTAATCTGATATGTTCATTCACATTTGTAGTCCCAGTGTGGGGACATATTGACCAAACTAAGTAGTGTCAGTCTCCTATAACACACCAGATACATTCCTCCCCAGTCCAAGGATCTTCCCTGCAAGGGATCTGTATCATTTATATATGCATGTATATTTGCTGCTCTGGGACTTCTGCCATTGAAATATCCCATCTGGAAGCATTTCATTTTCCTAATGAATATGTCATAAGGCAGTCTTAATTACTGTCTGTCTAGGCCTTCTCTAGTTAGATCTTACCCTCCAATCTCTTCCACATTTATGTGTATATTCTACCATGTGCATGTGCAACTTTATTGTATTGCTATAGATGGCCTTTTCTTAGAAACTTTCAGCTTTTCTGACCTTGCAGCCCTTTGGTCTCTAAGGCACAAGAGCTCCTCTACTAAAAGGGAAACAACAGAATCAGAAGTGGTTGTAATTTGGGATTTTACCAGTCAGAAGTGGAAATGCCAGTCACGTGAACTTGCCTTAAAGGGGTTTGTGAGATCTCATGTTATTGTCTCTTTGCAGGGTATCATCCAAGCCTACAAGAGTGGCATAACACTCCAGGGAAACACCACTAGCCTGGGCAGGTGGGATTACAGCGGGTCTTTCTTCTTCTCCATATCTGCAATAACAACCATTGGTAAGAGTTCCCTGCTTACAGGGTCACCTCATAGGTGGGAAGAGAGTGGGAATGAGGGCCTGTACTCAGATGCTGCTCCAGCACTGTGTGGTTCCCTAGAGCTTGCAGTAGGGAAGCACCCATGAATTCAGCCCTAGGAGTGCTTTGTCAGTGCCAGTGCAGTAATGATCTCTAACTGATCAGACACAGGGGTAATTAGCTCAGGACATATTCCTGCTAAGTTACATGGCTTCTGGGGCCTGCACTTCAGGGTGCTGTGCTGTCTGGACTTTCCCAAGTCTTGTGCACTGTGAGAGGTCTGAGGTGAACTGTGCATTGAAATAGGCTTTTCCAATCACAAGGACAGGAATGATTTTGGAAAATTTTTAATACTGGCTACTGTGTCTTCACAGACTGTGTTTATGAATTATTCCTCCTTATTACTACCTGTATTAGATGAGGACCTGCTTGTTCAAGCGGAAGTTAAATAGCTGGAAAAACATCACAATTCAGTTGACTCAGGTTTCAGCAAATGGTTAATGCAAAGCCACAAATAAATTATGGAAATAGGTAGAGGGAGGGAAAGTGGAAAAAATAAAATGTACTGGGTACAGAGCTAGATAAGGCAGATGCTGTTAATTATTGTCAGTTCGCGTCCCTGTCCCCAAGACCATAAATAACTTGCCTTGGTGTCTTTTTCTTATGGTGTGACCCAGTATTAAAAAAAACATGGAGGGGAGAGTATGTGGAGAGATGATTGTTGAATATCAAAAATCCCTCACGCATTTCTTGATTTGTCAGCTTTTTTCAATTTTAAGTATATTTTTAAATCAAGATTTTTCTTTTTGTAACCAAATGGAACCTTCTTTTGATTTCTGATTCTTTTTGAAGATACACTGGCTCCAGAACACTAAGCCCTCAAGCAGGAGCTTAAAGAAAGAGAAGGCTTGTGTGTTTTCTGTGGAGGTGGAGGCGAGTGGGTGGTAGTGTGTCATCTTCCTGTGACTCAGTATGTCTTTCTGCCCTGCTCTTTTGCACATGCATTGTTGTGGTTGGGAGCACACTTTCAGTGTGTTGCACTGCCAGACAAGGGTTGCACCAGATGATGGCAGTGGAGGCTCATTAGACAGGGTTACACAGGCTGTGAGTTTCCAGGAGAGCCTGGTCAGTTCCTTCCACCTTTGATACAAAGCAGCATCTGCTCAGAGCTGCTTTGCATGCCTCAGTAGTGAGTGAATCCTGGTAAGTTTCTAAACCATCAGAGTGACTGCTTCACCATGGCAAAATTAAGTTAATGATATTCAGGAAGAATCAAATTTATTATGTTAAAATATGAGGGGATGTTGGCAGAGACCTAAACTAAGCATTTCTGCTCTTCTATACTGAGTAGCTGCTAAACTACTCCCTGCCCCCACTCCCCTCTTTTTTAAATCTAATTCCTTGCCCTGATGGCTATAGGAGTGGAGGACAGGACAGGGCATGACACAGCTGAGTTGATAGCAGAGGCAATTGAAAAGAACCAAATCTTACAGCTCTTTATATCATGATTTTAAAGCTGGTGCTACGATTCTTGACACTTGTTAATGATTTTACATTGCGGATTTGAGAATGCCATACAAGCCACTTGTATGCAGAAAACTTCAGATGATTGGACCCTTCATTCTGCTTTTTTCAAGTGAAATTGTTAGTTGCATATAGATTAGTGTAATAACACTGTTGATAACAATATGTTGTAGAATAGAAAACTACAAATTATTTCACAGAGCCTCACCCTGAGTCTGTTATCATAATCTCTCTTTATGCAAATTCTTGAGATAGTTGAGGGGTTCAACCTCATTGAGGATACCACAGTGTGACTGGGAAGGATAATTGATGATGTCAAGTAAAGAGACAAACTCCTTTCCAAAGAACTCAATGAAGTTCAAAGTGGTGAGTCACAATAAGAAACTTCATTTATAAGGTATGGCAATGAGATAAATGACAATTGAGAAGGCTTCTGGAGGATCTGTAAAGGTTTTAGTGTTCTTACATGACAAGGAAGGGTTTATCTCAGGCTGTGATTATGGAGCCAATGAAAGCACAAGATTACCCTATAGGACTTAAAACCCAAGGCATTCTAGGAAATGAGTTTAGGAAAGGTAAAGTTAAGATGATAATGCAGAAGAGTGAGTCTCAGGAATTTAGAGGTACTATATAAATATTTTGAAGAATATGGATGGCCTCTATTCCATTTGTTCCAGCTGCTGCAAGGCCTTTGGCCTGTTTGTCTCTTCCACATTTTTTCTTTGCAATTAATGCCATTCATGCCTTGCTGGCCTCTTATGCAAAATAACATCTTTGTGACTCTTGTCCTTAGTCTTCTCAAACAGCACAGCTAAAACCACTATCACTTTTACCTTAATCACTTTCCTTTGAGATGCTCTTTCTGTTCTGCCAGCTCCTGTATTCTACTTTAGGTGCTTTAACCCCCCTCAGAAGGTTAGGTCCATTTCTCAAGTCCTTACCAGAACACTTTCTCACTGGGATACAGGAGGGGATGTTAACTTCTTTCCCCATTAACACCAACTGAGGGGCATTAGCTTCTTTCCCCACTGACAAAGTTTAAATCCTCCTGTCTCCTGTTGCAGTATCTTCTGCACTATATCTTTCTTCCATTTAAATGAGAGCCTCATCTATTTTCACTACTAGTGATTTCATTACTAGTGATGAAGCAGCATATGAACTTTGCTTAAAAACAAAGTGAGTTCTAACGTGCAGGCTGTACCTCAGGTTAGTTAGTGCCTCGATTGCAACTGTTTGAAGAGCAGATATGTATAAACTAAAATCTCTTGTGTAAAGAAGTGCCCCAAAGCCTATGTAGTTTTTGGCGCATCTCATAATTTGAATGGAACTGCATTTATAACTTTGGCATGGACAGCCCTGGCCACCTGCTGATTCTTTCTCCCCACTGTTACTCTTCTCTGCTTTCCTTGTTGCTGTCCTTGACATATATCATGTCATGTCATGTCATGTCATATCAATCATCATACCATGCCAGATTTTATGTTATCTCGTTTTCTGCAGATTTTTCCATAAGAACCCCTTCTCAATGCCTTGAAGGGTCATCCTCAGAGTTCCTGTGGAGCTGTAGTACTAAACGTGATTAAAGAAAGAAAAGCTAACTTGCTGCTGGTTTTATCTCTCAGACTTCCTTAGCCCTTGCTGACACAAAGTTTCTCTTTTCTGTGTTGACTCTCCTCCTGCTTAGTTTGGACTAACAGGACACAGGTCAAATCAAGTTCAGGGTGGGCACAAGATCAAAATTCCTAAAATCAAATGACCACAGAGTGGTATAATTTCAGAGAAGGTGCTAGGGAAAGGCTCTTCCTTTAGTCAGTGATGAGGCTGACTTGTCAGTGCAAGCCTAAGAGTAGGAGTAAGGAGTATTGTCCTCTCTAGCCTGAATGTCCCACCTAATATTGGGTGGATAGATGCCATTGTCTAGTGCTGTATTGTCATTTTCTGATGCCACCAGAATTCAGTTGTGTGAATTTCAAGGGCCCTTTTTTAAATATAAAATGGGGCAAGTAAACCATCTCACCGTGAAGAAAAGAAGGGAAATACCTTCTTCCTGTTCTTTCCTTCTCTGGTTAGCACAGTACATAGCTCCTAAAAGCAATACCCCAGAGGACTGGGAGATAACAACAGAGGCATGGATCAGGCTATTCAGTGAGTGATAGTATTAACCACACTGTTACAGACGTTTAGTAGTTGCTCCAGAGGATTCCAGTGCAGGGAATAAAACAGTAGCAAGTTCAGGGCTATGAAATTCTGGTAGGGTAAAGTTTTGGGCAGCAAGAGGTTTGTGAAGACTCTGGCCCTCTGCAGACACTGCCCAGTATCTGGTGGAGCTCCTGAAAAATGGTCAGGTTCCTGCCCATTGCTGGCTGACACTCCATTGGGGAATTCAATTAAACTAACTTGATGTCTCAAAGTGGTTAATATACAGAATAACAGCTTGGGACCACTTTCATATTTGAATCCTCTGTGAACCTCAGGAACCCTTTGTGTAGGGGAGATCTCTGCTGAAAAGCTGTCACTGTTGATGTGTTGATTTTTCCCTGCCCAGTGACAGCTGGCAGAGCTTCTCTATAAGCTTGCCCAAGTAGGCTGTAGCACTGTGGTCCGTGGGAGGTCACTGATGGGTTTGGGGACAGCCACTCACAGCAGCATCCTCTGAGCTATCTCCTGAGTAGTGGAAATGCAGTCTGCCTTCCTGACTGCATGCTGTCTCACCCAGCTGAGCCTAAGCCCACTATACAGCTTTCAGTGTATGCACAGCATGAGTCAAAGACTGCAGTACTCATCTGAATCATTTTTTTCACTCACTGAAGGAGTGTGCAACCAAATTTTACTCTCATCTGGAATTTCATAGGGCTAAAACTGTTAATAACTTCCCTGATTCAACTGCCCGGGTCCCAGTGAGCTTCCCCATATAAAATACAGTTCCTGAGATTCTGCCACCACTAGCTTTAAAATCAAATTCTTCAAATTTTTACTTGTTCTAACCATAAAACTGTGAAGCCAAATCAAGCAGTGTGGCTGCTTGAGGACTGTGCCCTGTTTCTGTCCTACATGTACAGGCTCCATCCTGTAGCATCCTCCCTGGATGGATGAATTTGGAATAACTGACTTCCCATGCCGGGTGTCCTCAGCTGTGTCCAGCTGATAAGTGTTCTTGAACTTAGTGCAGACTTGGTGGATACAATATGAAATCTCACAAGAAGGTTGAGAAGCCTGCTAATATGTTTTCTATAGTTAAGGAGACATTCAAAGCAGGAGGGAGGATAGGAACCCCTGACTTGTTGATCTTCCCATGAATGTAGGTGGTACCAAATGACCTCTGAAAATCCTAATGCTTGTAAGATCATAAGATAATTCAGGCTTCCTGATACCTCAGGAGATCTCCAGTACAATTGTCTGCTTAAAGCAGTCAGCTATGAGGTCAGAGCAGGCTAATGAGTGCTTTGCTAGGTGCTGTGTCTCACCCTCAAATCCACGGGGATAAGTCCCCTGTGGAGCCCGGCCAGCTGGGCAGTGGGGCGAGGCGGGCAGAGGAAAGGAGCTTCTCGTTGGATCCCGGGGGGCTTGGAGAAGCTCCCTCGTGAGTCCAAAGACGAGCTGGTCCCACAAGCAAAGGAAAGAGGCACTCCTCCTCTAGATTAATTCCAAAGTTTAATGAGGCCCTGGGAAGAGATCCCAGAGTACATCTGAACCTGAAGGGCATCCAGAGTAAGAGGGAGTATCCCTGCCCAGAGCAGCCAGATATAGGGGGGTGGGGAAAACCGAACAGCCAACGGGGAAGGACATGGGAGCATGGGAGCGGCTCTCTGGGGGCAAGGCCTCAGAGTGACCACTGAGGAGGGGGTCGGCGAGGAGTCCCAGCCAGGGTCCAGTTACCTGGTGACCCTGGGAGAAGGATCTGGACAAAGGGGAAGGGTCACCAGGTGATGGACACATCACCTGGGAGGAGACAGGGGGATGGGTTGGGGTTTGATGGACATACAGGTACTGATGGGAAAGCTGGGATGAACCAAACAGGTACAAAGAGGGGATATGGAGGGACAAGCCATTATGAGGGGATATACAGTGCAAACACAACTCCACAGTTAGGCTCACCTTCCAGCTAAGCTGGGGCCATGTTCCCATTTTAAGGAACCAGACAAACATTACCATAAGGCTGTGTGAGCGATCAAGTATGTGTTTTTCCACTTTGAATTACACAAAGATGTCTTTTCCATCTAAAGTGATTTTTTTTTTAATGAAACATTTGAATATTCAATAGAGAAAGCCTTTCATTTCTGGTGGATTTAAACATCCAGATCACTTGTAAAGACCACAAGGGAAAGAAATTTTAAATTTCCTGAAATGTGTTAGAGGAGGAGCTAGTGGTGGGAGGAGCTGGATGGCTTAAGGATTTAATTTCCTCCAGTACCTGGGAAACTAAGAATGTGGCTCACTGAACATCACCCCAATTACCAAGGAGAGAAGTTTTCATGAGAATTTAAATGTATAATGCAAAATAAAATAATTCTGGCACTGACACCCCTCAGTGAATTACACAGTGGATACCTGGCCCTCAGGCTTAGATTAATGCTTGGTTATTCAAAGCAAAATATTTTCAACAAGAAGAATCTGTAAATTTTGGATTAGACCCATGTCTAATCCCAGTGTCTGTAGGAAGTGATGGCTTGTATACTTTGAGGTAGGAGAAAATATTTAATAAAACAAGAAGTGTTGCTTCTCTAGCCAGTAGCTTTATCAATGGTTTTAGCACTCAAACACATTTTTGGGTAGATTTGGTTTTATGCTAACCCTGGATTTTTCTGCATGTGAAATTTTTTGGTAAATTTTCAAATGTTTTTCAGCCTATGATGGATACTTTGTGTTCTAAGCACTTTTTGATGAAAATTCTCTTATATCTGGACAGTGAGAACAATCCTTTCATTGTGGGTAGCAGGAAGTTGCAGCTGCCTCAGTTAACTGAGGGCATTGCAAGTACTGTCTTGTGAATGAAAATATCTTTTACTAATAAGTCTTATCTTCTTAAGAAGTCTACAGAGCTTGTGAATCCCCTATGGGCAGGAATGTAATGGAAAAGCAGAAAAAAATCCTGAATTACTTAATACGTGTAACAGAAGCGCATGAGTTAAAGCACATGGTTATGAACATTTAGAAATAAAACACTCTTTTGTTTCCTCCAAAGAAACTTAACTTACATTACACCATATTTCAAAACAAGAGGAGCTATACATGCACTTAATCCAGCTGCTTCAGTGGAAAAACACTTTGATGTCTCTGCAGTCATTTCTCAGTGTCTCTTTGTTCAGACATGTACCAGGTGACATCCCAGCAGCATGGTCATGAGGGACGTGACACAACTGGCAGTATAGTTATAATTTCTGAATCTGGTTCAGATCTTCTAGTATCTAGTTCATGATGATTTAAGACACCAACTAATACTGAAGTGGGTAAATCATATTTTCCTATTCCTGCTTGAGTTTTTTAACAATTGAGGTTTATATACATTTAGGTTGGCATTCCTTTGTCTAATGCAATGACAAGTGGATGTAATAACCAGACAGGAGTAAATTTATGGCTATTTTGCATAATCTAAAATCTCCTATTTGATTATACTTTGTATCCTGTATAAAAGCTGGTGGGACATGGTTTTTTTGGCATGTGTACAGCAACTGTGTACCAAGACTTCAGAAAATTGTCTCAAGCTGCTCAATCCAAGGGAAATAGAATACAAAGCATGTCTGGTGTTTAGAGGGCCAGGTTTACTGTGTACTTTAGACCTTCTTACATCATTCAATTTGCCATTCTAAATTAATTGCAACATACAAGTTAAGTTTAGGTGCTCTGCCATCCAGCACTATGTGGCACCCCCACAATTCTGAATGCTGCTGTGCTTCACACAGTGACCAGAGAACACGGGCCTGTTTTATGATTTTCTGCAGAGAAACTTAGAAACCTGTGATTAAAAGAATTGCCCAAGACATTACACAGTCTTTTAAAACTTGATAGAGAAGGAAAAAAAAAAAAAGGGAAAGGGTTGGGGGAAAACCACCTTGGGAATAACTGGCCATAAATGTATGTGACTCATCTTCAGCCTCCACCCTACACTCCCCCAGCACTTTCTCCTGGGCCATGTCAGGCCACAAAACACCCTAATTCAATAAGCAAAAAATTTGAACTACTCCACTGAAATGTCACAGCCAGTGTGAAATGCATCACATCAGACACATCTTTCTATAATTCGCTTAGAAGGGGTCATCTACCAGATGTATTTGCTTACATGTCTCATCTACCACACTTGGTAGTATAGAAATGGTGAAAGATGGCAGAAATTAGCAGTCACTGGGAAAAGTGCATTAGCATTGCAAAGCTGCTCACAAAAAAAGAAGAAGTAGCACTGACATGAATTCTTAATTTAGCCCCTTTTTGACTATATTTCAAAACATCTAGTTGCATAACAGCATCCTATTCTTTCTGGGGTTTGCTCTCCCCCTTCCCAAGGACAGGCTTCTGGGGCTCCAATTGAGGTGTATTGTGTGCCTATAATTATTGAAGGGCATGTCCTCCATGTAACAAAATTTGGGATTTGTGGGGTGCATACTTAGGAATAGTTTGCCCAAAGACCATTTTCTGGGTGTAGTTTGCTGGCAGATGTGCACAACTAACTGCAGAATTGTCCATGGTTGGAGATTTTTTTGCATGTGTAGATATCTCCATCCCATAGGTGTATACATTTCTACATTGTCAGTCAGTGGCTTATTGCATCTGGCATGTGACAGAGTTTAGTGAAGAAATGGGACTCTTGAGTTAACCACAGATGTTTGCACTCTCACTTATCTGGGATACAGAGCCCAGCCCTGGGGCCTCTCCTTGCTGGGCACTGCTCACTTGCCCTGAGACTACAGCACTCAAAAGCAGGGTAGCAAGGCAGCAGTGGAGGGAGCGCCTCTGTGCTTGTTGTGCCGATGGTTGGTGGCGCTGGGATGGGATAACATTATTTGTGGTAAAAAGATAATCTCCTCTGTAGACATCAATCTGTAATGAGCAGAGGTGATTTTGGAATGTAGTCAAGGCCATAGGTCTCTGACTGGCTAAGGCACTGTTGAAATGTTTGTGGTGTGCTAGTTGTTGTGTCTTTGAAAGCATAATGTGAGATATACCCTAGTTAAATCTGACTGTCTTGTAGCACAAAACAGTAGAAATTACAAATGCAATGCTGCAAATTTATAGACCATTTTAAAAAGAACGTGTGGGGAATGAAAACAAGTGATCTTGAAGCCCGAACAATCTGAGGATACAAGCAAGGCTGTGATTGCAAGGCAGGATCTTTTATTAGATCACTTCCTATGACAAGAAGAAAGAGGAAAAATTTAAAGCGTTTTATTTTAGGTTGGAAACTGAAGTATTTTACACAGATTAAATATAATTTCTCTGGATATATTGACTCTAGACAATAATTTGGACAATTTAAGGTGTTATTTGGTAATTGTGGTGCAAAAGATTTTAAGCAGAGGCAGGGTTAAGTTCACCAGTCCTGTGGGACAAAGGTAGAAAAGGGTGGTTGTTATAATTAAAACACTATTGTTGTGATTCAGAGACCATCTGACAGCGATGCAGGATCATGTGCTGGTAAAGCCCAGGCCAACAATGCTTACAAAAATTGAACTAAATGGAAGGTTTGCATTTACATCAGATCGCAGCCAGGGCAGTGGGTAGGGAAGAGGAAATTGACTGGTAAATGGAAAAGGAACTAAGCAAAATTGGCAGGGAAAGAAATGTTATTTTCCAGCCCACAATAGGATATGATAAACAATGGATGTTACTTACAGTTATTTATAAAAAAGGTCTTTTTGGAGCAGTGACCTTCTCACCTAACTTCTGTAGATGATGGATGTTCACCCCTCCAGGGGGAAGGGGGTAAGTAGAGACTATTTTAGATTTAATGCTTCATTCCTCCCTTGTCTAGGCTATGGAAACCTGAGCCCCAGCACTGCAGTTGGTCGAATCTTCTGCATCGTGTTTGCACTTTTTGGGATCCCCTTGAACCTTGTACTCCTGAACGAAATTGGGCACCTGATGCTGCTTGGGGTTCAGCATTGTGCCCGTCGCCTAGAGGACGTGTTTCACTGGCAGGTAAGCAGTATGAGCAGGCATAGCTCAAAGAAAAAAAATACAGGGGTCATTGTCTCGTATTTGAGATCCTATGACTAACAAGGACGGCCTGGCTGACTATTTGACCAAAAAGGTAATAATACTCAGGAATGACTGGAAGCAAATAAATTTAGTCTATGACACAGCCCTATGAGGTGTCAGATAAAGTTGTTTATTAATTGAGGGAAATTCTGTGATGAATGACTTCCCCTACATCAACAGAAGCAATACAGCATGTGAGCAATGCACAGTCCTAGACTATCTAGTCTGTTTATTATCAGTTTTAGTTAGAATTGCATGTGTAAGTTATATGGGAACATTTGTGGAACGGGCTTTAAACTGGCATGAATTTAGGACTTATGAAGGCGATGCCAAATTTGTGTTGGCTTGGTGTCAGTGTTTAACCTCAGCTAGCATCTAAGCACCATGCAGTTACTCACCCCTTCCCTGTGGAATGGAGAAGAGAATCCAGATAGCAAAAAATTCATGGGTTGAGGTAAAGACAGTTTAATAAGTAAAGCAAAAGTTGTGCACACAAGAAAAGCAAAAAAAAAAAGAATTTGTTCACCACTTTCCATCAGTAGTTAGGTGTTCAGTCATTCCCAGGAAAAGACTCCATCATGCATAACACTTACATGGGAAGAAAAACTGCATCACTCTGAACATTCCCTGCTTCCTTCTTTCCCCATCTCTATATGCTGAGCATGATGCCATATGGTATGGAATATCCCTTTGATCACTTGGGCTCAGCTGTCCTGATTGTGTCACCTCCCAAATTCCTGTGTACCCCCAGGCTACTCACTGGAGGGGTGCAGAGAAGGCCTTCACACACTGTGCAGGCATTACTCAGCAATAATAAGAACATTCTGTATTACAAACACTGTTTTCAACATAAATTTAAAACACTATCTCCTACTAACTACTGTGAAGAAAATAACCATCCCAGCTGAAACCAGCTCACATGTAGGACAGGCATGTCATTTGTTATAGTGGAATTCAATGAATATTTGTATGCTTTTGTGGAGCTTGCTCCAGCTGGAAAACAAAGCTGGACTTTCCTTGCTGCACTTCTTGTGACAATCTTTTTTTTTTTTTTTTTTTTTTTTCTTTTTTTTTTTTTTTTTTTTTTTTTTTTTTTTTTTTCCCTTCCTGTTTGACTAGAATAAAGCTTCCTTCCTGATGAAGACCTGTGCACTGGTAACTGGCTTGTTGTTGTTCCTCCTGCTACCTCCCTTGTTATTCTCTGACAAAGAAGGCTGGTCTTACGAAGAAGGCTTCTACTATTCCTTCATTACCCTCAGCACTATAGGGTTTGGAGACTATGTGATTGGTGAGTAGTTCACATTTCATTGCTTTCACCTACTGAACAGCAAATCCATGACATACAAAGCTTCTCACTTGGCAGTCTGGCACAAGTAGCAATCCCCAGACCTAATGATCAGTATGTTGTGGTGTGCATTTGGCAGGTTGGAAAAGACATTATTTCTGCCATAGTAATGCCACCTGTGGAAGAACAAAGGCATTATTTCCCAGTCAGTAAGTGGCATTGAAGTGGCCTGTCCCTTGAATGACTACACCACCAGGCAGGAGTGCTATGGTTTAATCACAGTGGTTGCTGAGGGCACATTTATCACACTCCAGTGCATTGGCAGCCATTAATTTTAAGCAGAAGCCACTCTGCATCTTCATTAACAGACAGGGGCTGTTTCTTCTGTTTAAACCCTGGATAACTACTTTCTAAAAGGCAAATTAAGTCACTTAGGTATAGACTGTCAAGCACCAGGCACTACTTAGTTTTGGATGCCAAAACCCTTTGCCAGAAGAAATGGGATTGGATCCACACCCACTGCATTTGCTGAAATGCAGGATACGCCTCTTTGATAAAGACTTTCTCATTAAAAACATATTGATTATATAAACACATGCACTCTTGAGTTCCTGAGAGACAGAAAGACTAAAACATCCTATTAGGGATTTGCTGCTTTCTTCATAGCACTCGCTTGATGTTTAGACAATTTAGTGGCAGTTACTTTAGAACTTGTTTGTCATGCATCAAACTTATGATTAGAGCTTGTGTAGGCACATGTAAATAAGTTAGGAATAAAGTTAGCTTGGGCAAGGGTAGCCAGATAGAGCTTGACAAAAGCTGGGTCAGCTTAGCGTTCTCCTATACTGATTTTACAGATGATGCTGAACTCTGTGCTACAACAATTTTACTTCTCTCAGTTTCTGGTAATGCATTATTCCTTCCTCTTCCAGGTGTGCCTTCACCTGTGTAGTACCTTTGTAACTGGAATACTGCCATAGAGACACTAGGTTTGGTATGGGAATAATTGAGTATGTCAGTTGTTGTGTGTGTAGAGGCTAAACAATTTTGACTTAAAATCCTGTATGTGTGGTTTATGCCTCAAAAATAAGGTTCAAGTGATCTTCATACTATTTCCCCACTAGTGTGATAAAGAGCTGGGAGGAACAAATTACCTGCAGGGAAGTATCTTTGCAGAAAAGGACCTGGCAGTCCTGATGGGCACCAAGCTGTCCATGATCCTGCAGAGAGTGCCTCTGTGGCTGTGAAGTCTGGTGATAATTTTAAATTGTTTTCCGAAGTTTAGTTGTTCTTGGAGGTTTCAGGACTGCTCAGGCCTCTTTTCTCTGCTCTCAGACACTCTCCTGCTTATATCTGGTTTAACAAGATACATATAGTGGTACATAAACCCTGCTTACCTCTCTGCTTGTAGGGACCTCTGTTACATGCTAATAGAATATTGTGGTGTTGAGTGATAAGCAGAGAAACTAAACTGTGTGCTTGAATGTGAATAATCACTTTGACATGGATGTAATTTGGGATTTAGTTTTCTTTCTTGAGAATGATATTTGCAATTCCTAAGGAGTACTAGGCTGTTGCTGACACATCATGAAACATACTTACAACATCAGTTCACATGCCAAGTAGATGGCATACTTGTGATTTATGTATAAATCACTAATATTCAGTGATATTTCAACTGTCTTTTCTTTACATGTAATGTCTCCTTTGGGGCACTTTTGATCCAGTGTAGAAATGTTTTGGGTGATTCTGTTGTAGGGATGAACCCAGATCGCATCTATCCAAGCTGGTACAAGAATGTAATCTCTCTGTGGATCCTCTTTGGGATGGCCTGGCTAGCACTGGTTATCAAATTTTGCATCAATATTCTAGAGAGCTCCAGTGACTTCTGTCAATGCAACAAGAGGAACATGGAGATGGCAGAAGATTTAATGGATGGTAACAAAAATAGCATGACTGGACTTCAAAATGTGGAGATCTGCAGCGACAAAGACACAAAAATGAAAGGACCAGTTGAATCTCACTCTTACAGAGCTCCTATGGAAGCTCTCTAGGGAAGAAAAATGTTCTCGGTGTCCTGTAGGTTTTAGTGCGCCAAAGATGAACCATTTGAAATGTGTAAGTAGAGCTGTCCTGACCTGTGAATGGGGTGAAAGTTTGCTTATTGAGCTTGAAATGCTTTTATTTTGAATTGAGCAATGACAAAACATTTCATTTCCAGCACCAACAAGTACTACCAATGGGACTCTTAGCCGAAAGTAGATTTAAGGAAATATCACCTACCCTCCCACCTCAACTTAGGAGGTAATCTTTGACATCCCTGAGCAACACCAGCTATTGTCCATTTCTGTATGTGATTCTTGCAGCCTCTAGTTATATGTATGGCACTTTGCAAATGCCACAGCCATAAAAGCAAGTGCCATTTAATGCAAGAAACAAATGGCATATTGCCAAAATAAATGAAAATAAATGAAAAGCAGTTTAAAGCTATCTGGCCATCATGGCAGGTGCTTATGAAAGGTGCTAACAAGGTTTTGCTCTCTGATCGTTCATACGGGGATGGCAATGAGGAAGAGCTTGTTAAGGTGCCTCATAAAAACAGATAATTTCATTTTTAAAAAAGTAATTTCTACATCAGAAGTCTGCTAACAGAAAGAGATTGGGTATGCTATTCCTTGCTTCAGAACTTATGTAAGTTCATTCTATGAAATATTTTGCAGACCAAATTTCATCAGCTCAATGTTCATTTGGATAGATTTGTATTTTGTTATGTCTTGGAAGTCAGAAAAGGAGGACTAGAGGCAATCTTAAAAGTCAGTGATTCCAACATTTTCCTATCACCAATATTAACAAGAGCTATTTCAGTCTAGAAACAGACTGAATTTTTTTCAACTATGATCAAGAGATGCTATTGTGATGAACTTCTCATGTCACAAATGATTAGTGTACCTGTTCTAACATCCTATATATCATCACAACTGTCTTTGATCTGTGGAATGGCATGCTTATTTGGCCTTTGTGTCAGTCATGAAACAGAACTTGGTTGGGTCTTTTTAGTTCCATTAAATTCTCAAAAATCTTTTGAAATATTATGACATTTATAAAGGCACAACACAGTCTAACTCCTGGTGCTGTTTGTATTCCGTTATCTGTTCTTCTCATTTTGTTGTTCCTGTTGTGATATTTACATCCTAAGCATTAATTTTGAAAACTTCACCATGGCAGCAAACCATAATGAAGCATTTGGTTGAACCTTCAGCTTTTGCAGTGAGCCAAGTTTCCATGGGATTGTTACAGAAGAAATTGAAAACAGAGTCTATTGGAGTATGGGGCTGAGGAATTAGAAATATCCATAGCTATGTTCACAAAAATGGAGTGAGTGAAAAGTCTTCAGGAAAACAAGTTCTGAAACATATTGTGAAAAAAGTGTTTCCGGAAGAGGCCAGTCTGAGTATTGATATCTGGTGGAACTGATTACAGGAAAGAATGTAGCAAAGGGATCAGCTGAATGAAATTCAATCTGATGACCTTTTTCTGATTGCACAGAATTAAATGTTCTCTCAAATACTGTTTGAAGGGGCAGCAGTGATCAGGAAGGGAGGCAGTGGACCTCTTGGATCATACTGATGCAATATAAATACATTTCAAATTTTTGAACATTGGGTAATTTCTTTAAAAGCCTTTAGCATAAACTTTTCTGTTCCATGTTTCATCTTGCTTATTTTCACTGATCAATACACAATGTACATTTTATTGGCCTATGTGAAAAAGAAAGTGTATTTCTCAAAACATGAGTAAATTACTATTCACTTCACAAAATATTATACCCTTTAATACATATCCTTTGCATCCTTTTTCACATGCAAAACTTATTAAGTATAGGTGTATTGTAAAATCCATATGCCCAGGAGGTATTAGAGTTTCTGCTGTCAGAACACAGGGATGACTATGTTAATCTGTTTCAACTTCCACTTGAAATGTCACAGACTCTGGAAATTTCTACCAACTCTGCTAGATGATGAGAATGCTTGTAGAAGATTTGAGAAGAGTTTCTTCTTTTGGATTTGAATGTCTATTATGTTAATCTCATTAATTAATGTTCTCATCTATTTTTAGGCTGTGGATGGGGTCTTCAAAAGTGCCTTTGAAATTTAGGCACTCTGGTCCTACTGAAGAGCAGAGTTATGTGTCTTTGGGCAGCTAATGTATATTTCTGAGAGGCAAGGGGGAGAGGAACTCAAGGAATAGTCTTGAAAAAAAAGGATTAAAGCCTTTTGCAGATTTTGCTTCCACTGTATATCAGGGTTCAGCCACAGACTTAGGCACGTGGCTGGGTCTCGAGGTGCCTCATTATCTGCCCAAGCTGTCCTTTCCGAGTCACATCCTTCTGCAGCCCTGCTGCCCAGCCACTTACCATCAGCAGAGTTCTGCCACCCACAGTCTGATATCCCATATTTTATGGAAGACATGTCAGAACTGCTGGCAGGACACACGTACCTCCAGAGCCACAGGTTCTTTGCTCACCAAAAATTTTAGGAATAAATGAGTCAAATACCATCTCTGACTGGGTTCTCTGGTACTGAATTAGCATGTTGTCTCTTATGAATATTATTTTTCTGACAATTCATCTCAGCTAGCTTTTGATGTGGACAATAGATATTAGGATACCTGAGTCCCCATAAAGTGCTGTGCCTCTGGTCTTTGTGTTCTTTATAAAGATGTGTTGTGGTTAGATTATATGAATGTACTTGTTCCCAGGGGGTTGAGAAGAAAGTGGAGCAACATCACAAAAACACCATCATCAATGTGTCTACTATACCAAAACATGAAAGGTTATCTTCTCAAGGGTAAAATAAAGAAAACAAAAGCATGGTCCTGTTAATCATTCTTGTCACAGCTGACTTACAGTCTGTATTGGAAAATTACAGATGCTCATTGATTGTTTTTTTGTTGTTTTTTGTTTGTTTGTTTGGTTGGTTTTTTTAGTCTCTTCAGGTAAATATGCAGTTTTCATTAGCAATTTCAAATTGACTTTCACTGCTATTATTCTCCACAAGTCAATTTTTCCTTATTATCCTGTTTTCTTCCTTGGAAAGACCAGAGGTTGGAAACAGGTTTGGTTAGTAGTGGTAGTTGTAAATATTTATGTATCACTCTCCAGAGGCTTTTTCACAATCACATAGAGCATAATGTGCTTCTGACCTTGATACAGTTTACCAGGAAATCAATCCTGTGAAGCGAGAAAATAGAGAGGGAGCTGTCTCCCCTCCTTCAAGGACAAGTTCTGGCTTCAACCTCAGTGTTTCTTATGCTGGATCTTTCTGCTAGGCCAGAAGAGATGTTTGCTCCTTGGGGAAAGGTGTGCCCAGAAATCCACAACAGGATGTCACAGCAATGTAGTACAGACTGCTCAGAACTCCACAGTTTTTTCTAGTTGACCACAATATTTTGAGGTTCCTAGAGTAGAACAAGAAGGCTCTTTTCCCATGATGGTCTATGGCTTCAGAAAAAGTCCAGGATGTTATTTTTCTTGCAGTATATGCCTGATGCTATCTTGCCTTACAACTGCTATCTCAGCTCAGTTTAGAACTGAAATCAGTTAGCCTAGAGGAGGTTCAGTGGGATCTCATCAATGCATCTAAATATCTACAGGGAAGTTGTGAAGAGGATGGAGTCAGGCTCTTTTTCATTGGTGTCCTGTGACAGGGAAAGAGGCACTGGGTACAAACTTAAACACCAGGAAACACTTTCTCACCATGAGGATGACCTGGCACATATTCCCTGGAGAGTTGGTAGTCTCCATCCTCAGAGATCTTCAAAAGCCATCTCTAGATGACCTTACTTGAGGAGGGGAGTTTGATCAGATGATGTCCAGAGATCCCTCCCAACCACAACCATTCATATTTATGCATTTTAAGTTAGTAGTCCACTGTACAAAGCCCTCCCCTCTCTCCAGACTGTCTCCATTAACATTCAGGTTGCACTGCCAGCAGGCCTGGTAGACTTTCCTGCAATTTTGTAAATGCTAATTATTTTTTTTATTTCACGTCAGAAATGCACTTTGTAAGAAAGGAGCAAATACAGTTATTTGTGAGCAGGGAGGGTGTTTTGTCCATATGTTAAATACCATTGTACCATTCCAAAAATATGCAATGATGTTCAGCTTTTCGGGTTGGTATAGCCTCCTGTCAGTGTTATCTATCTGCCTGCAAGTTCTAGAAGACAGATTTGGTGCTTCATCTCTGACACACTTCAGGTAAGGCAAACCTCATTTCATAGAAAGGTTTACTCTTTCTAAAGTAGAGGCTTACAGTGGTACAGGTGGCTACTTACCAATTGGATTAGGGCAAAATTTTAATGTATTGAGGTCTTATAATATAAGCTTGTCATCTATGTAAATAAATATTCTGTCTGATGGAAAAGGTGAATGCAATGAACAAATAGTCTTTTTCAGGACTGTTAATGCCATGACTTAGGGAAATGTGTACATGAAAGTGTTTCCTCTTCCAGTGGTCCTGGTTGTGAGTGACGTAGCATCAGAGCAGATATTTTTTGTGGTTGCCTCTGAGCACCTTTTTGGTCTTAGAAGTTTTTGTTGGTTTTTTTTTTTTGTTTTTGTTTTTTTGGGTTTTTNTTTTTTTTTTTTTTTTTTTTTTTTTTTAATATCTCAAATAAGCACTTGGAAACTTGCAGATGAAATGGAGTTGGGTCTGAACATCTGCACAGCTGCCACACTGGATTATTCTGGGTGAAGATTCAGAGGTTTCATCTTCAGAAAGATAAGCGATTAGAATGGAACAATATCTATGCCCTGAAAAATCTTAATTTCTCAGGACTGAGATTTAACTGGATGTTTAGGTGGGTTTTTTTTTAGAGAGAAACTGGTAAGCATTTAAGCTAGTACTAAACAGGTAGAGAGGCTCTCTGGTACCTCTTAAGTCAATGTGTGTTGCAGTAAGAGCCAATGAAAAGCTGTCACTTTTAGAGGAGACAGCAGCAACATGAATTACCATACTCTTAAATTCTTTATGTTAATATAAGTGAATATGTGATCTTCAAAACTCCCTTTCAAATTTTGAGCTAAGGTACCTTTATTTTTAAGGGAAGTACAACAAAACATTCCTAGTAGAAAATGGATAGATCTATATTACTTGAGTCGAGGTACTGGAGCTACCTCTTAAGGCAGAAGCAATACAGTGTAAACTAGAGAGGCTTTCAAAATGTTTTAGTTTTTATGGCAATATGAAACATATTTCTTCACTGCTACTGAGTTAATTCACTGGAACATAGGATTTAGTTCTCAAGTAATATGAATTTCCAAACTCTCTAAATTAAAACAAGAGCATGCTTACCAAAGAAAGCTATAACAGATTAAAACAGAAAGGGAAGGAAAATAACAG